AGTGGGAAGTCTTTTCGAACTACTCCCCTCTCTCTGTCTCTGCTTAAAAATCGAACTGAGTGGTCCAATTTGGATTGATTGGTGTTTGAAGACAACCTTAGTCACAGTGATATCAAGTGAAAAACCACTTGGAACTAAAAAGTGCGGGTTAGTCATTTTGCTCTCTTTTTAGGCTTCCTGTTATAACACATTCATGACTCAAGTGCAGTTGAGTCAAAAACTTGGGAATTTCATGGTGAGTAATGTTCTGACGTTGGGTTGAATTCCAGTGGTTTACAACCTTTTCCACCTATTTTAATCAACTAAACGTTAGGAAAGCAAAATAGTGGAAATCACTAATTTTCCTATTCAATTAAGCATGTGTCAAAAACAGAAATGTTTTTGCATATATTATTTGGTTTTTAATCGTATATTAAAATCGAGGATTTTTTGGTGTCAGGTAATTTGATAGAAACTGGATAACAAAATCAAACATTCGTACTACTTAAATACAAAAATTAAGTATAACCTATCTAAGGAAATGTTTCTACGTCTACCTTACTTAACTGCTATACACCTGTTGGTAAACATTACCTTTGATACCTCCGACTTTTAGGGATTGACTTATTCCCAGGAATACCCAAACAAGATAGTACTGTTAGGTGGAAATTCAGACTTTTCTGAATGCTTTGAGCAAAAATCTGAGTAAGTATGGCATGCGTTTTCTGACTATCAAATGTAAGAAGATGCGTCGAAAATGGTCTTCAACTATTCTCAGTTAAATGGTAGGGATTGAAGTGATGGAATGCGTTAACCATTTCGGTGACTTAGAAAGTTGCATTAGTTCAAAAGGCTTGGTTGTAAACGAAATCAGAATGTAGATGCAAATTCTCGTCTTGGCATTTGCCAACCTACACTGTATCCCGCCCTGTCCTACTACACCGCCGTGAGACGTGTCTATTGGAAGTAGATATGAAATGGCTATAGGTTTTCGGCCATAGATGTAGAGTTCAAGTCAGTCTCTGAGACTATCAACTTTCATCGAGTGATGCGGCTTAGACGCGTTCGTTGCATGCCAAAACACCACATACCTCGATAAAGCGTATTAACCGAAGTAGGATTAAGTTAGAAGAAAGCTAAGCGTGGTCGAGAGAATACGTGGCACCATTTCATAAATTCCCTAACTGTCGATCTAATCTGCGTATGGAAATGTAGGCTGCCTATCCGAGGTTGTTGAGACAGGAGGGATCAGTAGTCGGAGACGCCTGGTGATAGGCTCAAAGTAGATCATAGGGTGCAGATTTATAAGTCTTGTCAGTTTCATTAAGTTTCAACTATCCCTCTCAAATACTAAACGTGTCCTTTAGTGTCGTTCATTTTTTATTTGTATCCTGCTTTGAAGTGTAGCCTATGTCCGGGCCACCTCAGTTGCTGCATACTAACAACTTCGTCCACTGACTTGTCTAATACACTTCTAACTTTAACATTCTCAAATTATGATTAACTATTTGACAGCAATGCTTAGAATAAGCCTGGACCTTACCATTTCTTCTACCTTCATTGGCGATCTCTTACAGCTACACGGTTTTGACGTATTTTTTCACCATCACACATGTATCTACGTTTATCATGATATGAATAGTGAATTTTAAATAAAGTATCAAGGGTTGTAACAGCTGAAAACCTTTTATGACGTGATATGTTAACAGAACAGTAGCCACGGTCTTAGCATCATATGGACTAAAAACAAGCTGTTTGCCACTGCAATTCAAACTACTGTCTTTTATATCTAGTTACAAAAGGTTTACTATCTTAAGGAATTCATGTATACACTATTGTAATGCTATGCATAGTTGTAAACATAGGTTTGATTTGTTTCAGTATTGTGAGCTTTTTATGCATCTCTAGTAACCATTCACTCCATATGTATTTGAAAAAATTCCAGAACAAGTTGCTGCATTTTTAAAGGATATCATAGAAAAGTTGTGATATCTAGAAGAGACTTCCAAACGTTAAAGAAAAGTCAAAACGCTTCTCTACAAGATGATGAGAATGAGTTGTTGGGACTTGAACATGCAGAAAGGCTTGATACTCATTTTAGTAAACCAGACGATAAAGAACCTAAAGGTAACTTAGTCTTACAGGCTTTTCAGCTGTCTACAAGCAGAATCGTCTATTGATGTTTTAGGTTCACTGAATGAAAAAGTGTTTACATGACTCTTTACCATAAGCTCCGTTTTTTCAAAAGATTTTAAAGATAGGTAGTGTTCGCCTGAAGTTAGTAAAATTCTATGCAAACTTTCAACTTCAAATATAATACCGCCGGGTATTTATGGGTAATTCGTCATCTTAGTATCCCAGTAGAAGGTGGAAGATCGTGAACTAAATGTCTTTTACGATATCTATTCTATATTGTAGTTACAAAATGTGAAAGTCTGGATGTTTAAAACGCTAACGTGTAATATTGTATGGAAAACCATTTTCAAAAACAATAAAGGTATTATTCTTTTAAATTCACTTTCACTGATATTTATGCACTGCTCGAACTTGCAATACCATTTAGTTCTAGGTCCCTATTTAGTTATTTTCAGTTTACAACAGATTAAAGCTAAGTGATTTGTTTTCATCCTACATTACAGAGAGAAATAACCTCGTTTCATAAGCATCAAGAGAAGATTCTCAAAGTTTATGTAACAATATAAAAGGGAGCCAAATAAAAGCTAGAGAATATTGAAATCAAAGGATATATATATATATATAATCAGCGTGAATAGCGACCAAGTAGTGATAACTTTTGTTTTTCGAGTGTACGAGTTTGATTACAGCACTGTCCTCTGAATACCTAATGTGTGGTATGCAGATATCCTGGGTGTAAGCGATCGCGCAATCGGTAAAGATCGAACTATCTGCAACTCACTCTCCTAATGGGAACATCAGGAATAGGTCAAGAGCCATATTTGAAGAGGTAATGATACCATTTACTCCATGGCAAACCGGACGAAGACCTCTACATCGCCCCCCGTGGTTTGATAATGGTACTCAAAAACTACTAAGGTGGAGGAGTCATTTACGCAACTTGGTCTTAGGAACTGGATACGAAATATGGAATTTTGAGTATTGTAAAGTCCGTGATCTATCCAAAGCTTTCTTTACATGCTCTCAAATATCATAAAATAAACAAGTTGTAATTAACTGCAAAAATTGTCCTGAAAAGCTGCTCTCATTTACCAAAATAACGAAGATAAATGGCGGAATTCCATCTCTAATGATAAGTAGGGGGTCAAAACGACTTTGTGGAGTCTAATCTGTCCGAAGCTGATTGCCTATCGGAATACAGTAGTGAAGTCTTCGGCAGACCAAGATTGTGAGTAGCTCATCAGTGCCGCCGCATCAGCGTGTGTGGTGTAAATAACGAAGGAAGCCGCTTTTTCAGTATCTTAGTGATCTTAAGTTCGTAAACTTCCCGGGTCTTGATGATTTTCAGCCCAGATTGTTATTGACACTAGTGGACATCGTTATTGATCTCTTCAGCATGTACTTATCCACTACTCACCACCCTAGAGACTAAGAAGATGCTATGATCAGTTCAGATTTTAGGGTTGGTAATCGTCAATCACTGTCTGTCTCTCTGTAAGTCCAACTGGTATAGTCATTAGAGTGTTCGGACAAATAATTCGTGATAAAATCCTGAACCATGTTGAATAAAATAATGTCTTAGGAACATGGTTTCTGAACAGGTCACTCCTGTTTACAGACCTCCCCTTCGTAAAAGCAGAATTAATTGCAGCTTGTTATAGCAAACTACTTATAGACACCATCTTCATAGGCTTCATTAAGGGCTCTGACAAAATGCCTCGCGTAAAATAATTGGTAAATCTCTTCTCCTTCGGGCTTTGTGCTACACTACAAGCATTAATCAAGGATTTTATGTTCGATAGAAGACAGTGGGGCTTAATGGGAATCTGTTTAAGTGGGAACCTGCTATGAGTGGAACTCCCTAGGCAAAAAACCTAGGTCCTTCCTTTTTCCTGTTAAATGTCAGCGAAGTTCCACTAACGCTCAACTCCGGGGCTCAGAATCACTGGTGTAAAAGTAAGAAGAGTCATATGGAGTAGCACCAACAGGTATGAGCTTCAAGAGGATTTGGATGAACCAGTAGGTTGATCCAAACGCTGGGACCTGGAAATTAAGTCTAGTAAAAGTGCAGTCATATAAATTGGTCATAGCAATTGTTTCCAGTATTCCGTTGGCGACACACAACTGTCTTCACTCTTAGAACAAGAGAACTAAGGTATCATCATCAGTTTTGATCTGAAAACATCCTTATACTGCAATGCAGAGAAAAGCTTCCGTTTGTTATGGCCTAATGAAGACCTTTCAGAAGTTTTGACCAGGATATTCTATTTCAAAAACTTAAGATCCTACTAGCAATACTGAATTAAGACAGCCATAACATGCCTCTAAAGGGGTGCTATAGTGTGTTCAAAAGTAAATAGTGAGCTTGTAGCTGGCCTTTCCGATCTTCTGTATGATAAACGACTAGATCGACTGAATTCGTCTCTGCTGTCTTTCCTTATGAAACAAGGCAGCATCGTACTAGCACCAAGTGTCCTTAATAACTAATTGATACCGATTATTCTCATCTTTAGCCCCTTGTTTATGTTGATGATATCTGAGGTCATCGTAAATAAATCAAAAAACTGTTCAAACTAACTTAGCATGAACCTTCTTTTCTCTAATAAAGTAGTCAACGGTTGGAATTCCTACCTTAGCTGGTATCTACCTTAGTGGTATCAGCTGCTTCAATGAACGCATTACGGAAGAAGCCAGATCTTCATATAGATAACTACTTCAAAGTTTGGCACAGAACAGGTGGTCAACTAAACTTGATACTGAATATTCACATTTTTTCGTTTGACCATAGGGTGTGAATGTATATAGAGCGAGTAACTCATGGAGCTCAATGCACTCCACATGAAAATGTTTTGAAAAATGTAAAAATATTAAGACTCCTTAATTACCTGCTGGCTTTAGTCCAGTACAAATTTCCGTATAAAATCTTCTGTCAAACTCATCACAGTAATGAGAGCCATCCTTATACCTCAGACCATCTGCATATATAATTTCTCCCTATATGCGTAACAAAAAATATGTCACCAACATTCTTAGGATGCCCTTTTTCCCACACAGCACGGTATTTACTACCATTTTGAAAGTGCAATGTTCCTTCTCCATGAAACATCCCGTCATACATCTGTCCTTCATAGTAAGTCCCTGTTGGTAACGTATATTTTCCGTACCCTTCTAGTCTTCCCAAAAAGATTCCAAAATAAGCAAAATACCTATTGTTTTGAGTTTCACCCTTATATTTATCTCCGCAGTATTCCATTTTGCAACTTAAATTGTGACAGCACCCTCGTCATAGAGATTAACTATTTGGAGAATTATAACAAATTTCAGGCATGACCAAAAAAGTCTCATAATCGAATAATATATTGTAGGTAGGTACTTTACAAACTACCTTGCAGTTAAAGCTAAAAGACATGCCAAAAGCTAGTAATAGTCGTTGAATCAATTGGCAGCGCTCTACTGAGCAAAGATAAAGTAGAGCTCCTTGGCTAGTTTATGACTTCCAACAGATCGGAAGGAAACAGAGGCTCAAGCCAATTAACCATTTCGAACACGAGCTTGCTAAGGCACAAAGTTAGATAAGCTGTTATCGGAAAATATACTGGTGGTCACCCTAATCAAGTTGTATAGAGTAACCAAAAAGGGGCAGTCCCTGTCGAAAACAGGTTTCGCCTACTTAAAGTAGTACTTGGATCGACATATGAGAAGGATCACGTCCCGAGGAACGCACACATATCTCAAGTAACTGGGGCGTTCGAGCGCAGGGAATTGTCTCCTGCTGATCGAACGAAATCTGGAGAAAAATTGAAATCTAGATTAGCATTGGAATAGAAAGATATAAAAGTAGTGGGTTTTCTCGCGGTGCAGCTCCGGCAACAAGTGATGCTGAGACCTCTTTGGACGGGATGAAAACTCATTCAAGTGGTTTTATCGTTTTGTACAGAAACGAAAGCAGTTTTCTAATTAAGTGGACTGGGTTTAGTAACCTAATAAGCATAGAAAGCCCTGACACTACCTCATGAACTTGGCTATGTTTTGAGATAGTGACTATGAAATATATTTATGAGAATTATTCCTTTGGGTAAGTAATAGGTTGGCTCGCAGAGGTAGCCAAGTCACCCTTTACGCTAAGAAAACCTTAACTGTAAGGGCCATAAAGACGGTTGCGCACGAAACTGAAATGCTGCGCTACCGACTAAAATACAAGGGACGAGGTGTTAACCTGATCACATCGAAGCCATGCATGTGAGGCAGAAGACATCCTCCGGAATAAGCTGACCTTCTGGAGAGATTACCGTAGATGTCTAGTTTTAGGAGCCTTCAGCGCACCACCAGTTGACTGGGACAGGGTAATAACAGGAGCGTCACCTAATCGGTTTGATTACGGGCTGGTGGAAACATTACTTTACTCAACCATAATGCATTACATTAGGCAGTAACTAGATTCGATCGTTAGGATGCCCCATCAATTCTAGGTTTAGTATTCTCACACACGGATGGTGTATGCCTCGTCCAACAACTTGTGTCCCTTCTTAAAAATGGTGATGTTTTAACAGTCTCCAGATTCACAGCAGCCGTCTTGTCCCAGATTAGTGCCATAGATAGACCCAATGCGCGGAAAGCAAATATAGCGGCTGTTAGTTTGGAAGCCTTTTCAGCTGAGAAAACAGTTAATTCAGGGTCCCCAGTTAAGGCTATATGGTGCTCCTTCAAATACTTACATGCACAACAGACTCGGCCGTTCATTCCACAGACTATTCTGAAGGGACGGAAACATTCCCTCTATTAATAAACTGAAGTCTGAAGCCTGCTATGATGCAGGAAAAAGGGCTGTGGTCTCACCACATGGCTTGGTACTCTAAGGGGAAAAACACAAGAAAGAAGCCCGAAATAAATGCATCACTGCTGTTCGCTGGTCTCAGATATGCTTCGAAATACGTCTTACCCAGGTTGCACTGTAGGACTGAGTGATATCATGGTATACCACCCATGACCAAAGGGACAGAAACTAACTATGCAACTGTAGACGATAGGGAAAAGGCAGAAGGTGTGGTCGGATATTTTGCTGAGGTATTTACCCAGGAACCTCCTATGGACGCTAGTTCATCAGAAGAAGCATTGATATCCGCCAGAATAAACTCTGTGGACTGTAATGATGCATCCGAAACATCAGGTGCTCTTGATATCGAAAAATCAGCGCAACCGGATGAAGTGTACCCCAGTCTGCTCAGAGAGCTTGCACTTTATGTGGCCGGTCCATTAGCTAACACATTTAGACTGTCGGTTAAGGCACACTCCCATATTGATGAAAGAATGCCGTAGTTATGTCTATTTATAAGGCATGTTATTAGCAGCACCTACTAAATTGCAGGTCGATAATGATGGTGATGATGAGTAACACTGTTGTACCGTTCGCAACACGGCTTTCACGGGAATTTCTCTTGCTTGGCGAACCTTCTCGCAGTCAAAGAAAGTTGAGTTGAGCCTTAGGGTGATAAGATACGCGTAGACGTCATTTTCATATACATTAGTAAGACATCCTACACGGTATCTTATTCCAGGTTGCTCATGAAACTGGAAAGTTTCGGGATCCCAGGCATTCTACTTGCTCAGGTCTGAGACTTCTTTGTTGTTGGAAACAAAGATTCAGAATCATTTTCGACTCTCCTCACCGAAGACGGCAGACAGTGGAGTCCTGCAATACTCAGTCTTGGGTTCCTTGGTTGTTCTGCCGTACGAAATGAGCTGCAGAAAGTCGCGACATTCCCGATGGTTCTCTGCACTGATGACGTAAAAACCTGAGAACATACGTGAGCTGGAGATATGCCTAGTCAGCTTTCTTGCCTGGTTAGAGAAATGGCTGATGTCCATCAAAGGATACAAGTGTGTAGACATCCACATGGTACATAGAGATGACAACTTCTAAACTGTCGGTGAGACTTCTCACCCATCGATACTGATCCATAGTGACTTGGGAGTTGTAGCAAGTTACTATTTGAAGACCATGATGCGCCGTCGATCGGCGGCAGCTCTGTTTTGGGCTCTTTTGGGCAATACGCACAATATTCACAAAAATAATTGGCGATGTGTTCACCATCCTACCCACATCCTTAGTTCGGTCTAAACTAGAAGACTGTACATAGCTGGCCCATCCCTCCCTGAAAGGCAACTCAGACCTTCTGGAAAGAGTTCAGAGGGCAGTCGCACATATGATGCCTGCTGTGTCTGACCTGGCATACGAAGACTGACTTAAGGAACTGAATCTCTCCTCTCTATCCTACCGCAAACGGAGGGAGATCTGATCGTCCCATCCAGGATGCCAAGAAATAGCTCTAGACCTGATATATCTTCCCTTTTTCTTCCCACTATGTCGGCACAACTCAGAAGGCACAGTAAGAGAATAAAAAAACAAAGGACGAACGTAGTCTCCGTGTAGTACTGGTTCTTGCGTCGAGTAATCAACTCCTGGAACCAACTCCCAGAAGAAGTGGTGTCCCCATCATCAGGTGACTTGTTCAGAAGAGCAGTAGACAACCACACGTATCCACCGGAAAACGACTAACATAGGTTCATGGGCTTTTATGAATTGTCCTGGTGCTAACTTTAAAGACTCAGAGGCTAATCACTAATTATCCGAACTTGTTGCATACCTACGAATACGAGATCAGGCAAGAACACAATGGTGTAGTCGCATGGGATGGTATATTTGCGAGGTCGTGTCAAGATACCGATGTGTTCCAACTAACTGGCTAAAGGGTTGATTATGAGCAGTGCAACGTAACACGATAGCGTGCCAAGTGGCGAGGATGCCTGATCGGGTGCCTTCAGCTTGGTGAGTTCAGTTCAACTATGAAGGTCAGCATCAATGTTGGGTCTCGTCAAACCCTAGGCAATTGATTCTGGAGAAGTGTATGACGCTACAGTTTTCTATCTTCAATAGCAAATCAATCTGAAATAAATTTATTAGTTGGGCATCAGTGAATATTCACTTAACCATTATCCGTGCTGTTTGGTATGCCTTCAAACAAATTCATAGATGGCCTAACCCCGTTGAAGGTTTGAAGATACAAGCATAAGAATAGCCTAACTGAACCAGTCTAAATCTCTGGCAACCTGAAGAATGCAGTTATCAGCCTAATTTTCAAAAATAAGTCCTGCAAACGGTAAACCGTCGTCTGGATAGCCTACAGACTATAAGGAATTTGGACTCATTGACATTCAATTTCCTATAACCCGGAAAACAAGTGGTTACCAGTTGCTAACTCTCTCCTAGTCTTAAAGTCTCTTCGTAGAGGTTTCCAGAGTTTTATTAAGAATATACTACAAAGATTATACCTGATTTATATTAGAATTCATCTGGAATATGGGATTCAAGCAGCAAATCCATGCTTTAGATGAAAAGCAGAAATGTTAGAACGGGTTCAGAGGTTCGGTACTGGGATAGAGAGTGGTTTCTACGACCTTGTCACGGAATGAGTCTCCACGGGATGACTTTACGCAGACTGGGAAAGCCCAAAAGCCAACCAACAATTATTTGTACTTTTTACATACTCTCTAGTGCGAGATTAAGAAAGGACATCACAGAGCAGCCAGATCGAACAGTATGTTTGAAAGTCGATATCAAAGTACCGACACATTCCGACGAACTGGCTAAAGAATCAGGCACGAGAAGCGCAATATAACACTATAACGTGCCAAATGACATCAATAATGGGCCATGTGCCTTTGGCTTAGAGAGTCTGTTAAAACTACAAAGGTCACCATCAATGTTGAATCTCGTCGAACCTTAGGCTATTGATTTCAGGGAGTTCTTTGTCGCTACAGCTCACTTGAACTGGAATATTTCCACTGTCTTGCCCTAGATTGAATGGAGAACACCAACAGGTTTACGGTATGCTAAGTGTTGATATTTACTGCAGTATACATTATTTATTGTTTCCCTTTAGAAATGATTACTAGAAACATTGATCAAGTCTTCTTTTCCCGGAAAATGGTTTCTGTCACCGAAGCGTTAAACAGTGGCACTCTTTGCAGCATTACGTTGTTTCTACCCTTTGAGGGGACAATTAAGAGGTTACATTTGATTTCTACAGCACGTATGTTGCAAGAATTAGCATAAGTGCTTGACCCCTCATCATTATTTCCAAAAATATGTCTAACTATGTCCTCTCACCCAAGGGATCTATGCTGAAATTTCAAGAAAATCTATGAAGTATGCGAAAATAACCTGCACATAGACCAATGTTCTCAAAGACTATCATGCTTGCCCTTACAAAAAGCTGTATAGTTTTTTGTCTCTCTTACCTCTAAACCTTAAACGATTCGCAGAGATCCTTCAAAACTTTAATTTCTTCCAGATTTTCAGCAAGATGTGA